GACCAACTTCGTGGCGCTCTCTATTTCTCGAAAATCGACTTACGTGGCGGTTACCACCAGATTCGAGTCTTCGCCGACGATTGTCACAAGACTGCGTTCTGTCAGAATCCCAGTCACTAACCACTGGGATAAAAGGGCTTGTTTATATAGCGGGTGAGTGCGCCCATAACCCCCCAGGCCGACGTGCCTGTAACCCTTCCCTAGGATCATCGGGGATCCCCAGTGGACCTCTGACACGTTCCACACACGCTACGGGAGTTACGAATTTACGGTGATGCCTTTCGGCCTCACGAACGCGCCTTCGACATTTCAACTGACCATGAACAGGGTTTTTCGCGATCTTCTAGACCGATGTGTCATCGTCTACTTGGACGATATCCTCATTTTTAGCAAGACACGGGAGCAGCACCTCCGCGACCAGGACGCAGTGTTTAAACGGTTGCAGGAGAACCGCCTCATCACCAAGGGCTCTAAGTGCGAGTTTTTTAAGCAGGAGTTGGAGTTTTTGGGACACGTCATTTCCCGCGACGGCATTAAAATCGACCCGGCGAAAATCAAGACCATACAGGAGTGGAAGTCCCCGACTAATGTCACGGAACTTCAAAGTTTTCTGGGGTTCGTGAATTATGTCCGGCGGTTTATCCCGAATATGGCGGGGATAACCGGCCCGCTGACCGACCTGCTGCACAAGGACAAGAATTTCGTGTGGGGGGAGGAGGCAGAGGCGGCTTTCCAGGAGCTCAAGAATTTTCTCGTTTCCCCTCCTGTGCTGCGCATCGCCGACCCATCGAAGCCGTTCGAAGTCGTAACCGACGCCTCTGATTTCGCCATCGGAGCTGTGCTACTCCAAGATTTCGGGAACGGGCTGCAGCCGATCGCCTACGAGTCACGCAAGTTGCAGGCAGCCGAACGCAACTACCCGATCCACGACAAGGAGATGCTCGCCATCATCCACGCGTTCAAACTGTGGCGCTGCTACTTGGTGGGCGCCGACGTCACTGTGCGCACGGACCACAAGTCCCTACAGTACCTGCGAGCCCAACCTAACCTCAACCCGCGACAAATTCGGTGGCTGGACTACATGGAGAGCCACTTCACCTACCGCATCACGTACAAGAAGGGGGCGAATAACATCGCCGATGCCCTGACCAGACCGACAGTACAATCTGCTGCAGTACTCATCACTCATTCGAACCCGTTATTTACCGGACTATTCACCCACGGCTACACTACGGACCCGTTCTTCACGACCGGGAATCACCAGCAGGCCACGACGCAGAAAGGGGATTATTACCTAAAAGCCGGGACCGACCGGATTTGGGTTCCCGCCTACCGGCTACTGCGTGAACTCCTTATCCAAGAGGTCCATGATTCGAACTTCTCCAAACACTTCGGGGTTGACAAAACCCAGAAATTACTGCACCGTCAATATTACTGGCCCGATTCCTCTAACGACGTGCAGCGTTACGTGTCCTCATGCAGGGTGTGCCAAGCCATGAAATCGACACGTCAACGACCAGCTGGGCTACTGCAACCCCTCGAGCCACCCGAACGACCGTGGCAACAGGTGACGATGGATTTCGTCACGGGGATGCCAGCTGGGCCGTCCGGCAACGACGCTGTTCTCGTCGTCGTCGATCGCTTCACGAAAATGGCGCACTTCGCCCCATGCCGAACGACAATCACAGCCGAAGAAACTGCGCGCCTCTTCATATCAACAGTCGTGCGACTGCACGGCATCCCTTCGGCGATCATCAGCGACCGAGACCCGAAGTTTACATCGAAATTCTGGAAAGAGACGTGGGCGTAGTACGGCACGAAGCTACATTTCTCATCGGCATACCACCCTCAGACCGACGGACAAACCGAGCGAACAAACCAAACCATGGAGCAGCTGATACGGACAAACTGCCCCGACCCCGCACGATGGGAAGATTCCCTCGCCATGTTGGAGTTCGCCTTCAACAACGCACCGTCAAGCACGACTAATCACTCCCCGTTCTTCCTGAATTACGGGATGGATCCGACGGTTCCCACGGCAACTTCTCTCGACAACCCCGTACCAAGATCACAAACTTTTGTGGCAGTACTCCAAAGCATCCGCGAAAAGGCCGCAGACGCAATTCGAAAGGCGAATATTACCTCTCGCAAGTACACCGACCTTCTACGCCGGGAACTCGTCTTGACCACTGGGCAACTAGTGCTACTCGACACGAAGAACCTCAACCTGCCCGGACCGTCGAAACTACGGCCAAGATTTTGCGGACCCTTCAGAATTATCAAAATGGTGACACCTGTCACCGCGAAGCTGTTGCTACCGGACGACTGGCGAATTCATGACGCGTTCCACGTCAGCCTCCTTCGCAAGTTCGTACCAGCGCACCACGACCGACATTGCACGTCAGCAAGCTGCACCACCGGCACGACCTGTCCCGGAGCCGACTCTTGACCCTTGGAAAATTCTCGCCCATCGGGTCCGCCTCGACGCAGCTGGCCGACACGTGGATTTCTTAATACGTTGGACAGATCGCACCAGTGAGGACGACACGTGGGTGCCATCCGCCTCGCTCGCAGCCTCACCACTTATTCGTGATTATCTGGCGCGCAAGCGTGTTTCGGATGTTGATCGCCTTTCTTAAAGGGGGGGGGGGGGGGGGGGGGGGGGGGGGTGGTGTAAGGAATTTTCTCGAATTCCTTATCGGGGTTGACTGCTTCGCGTACAACCCGATTTTCGGACTTTGCACGTTCGGCCGATTTCAACGCTGCCGAGGCTCCTCGCGTCGCCTTCGGCATTTTCCCATCGCCAAACCTGCACCCAACCTCGCTCGTCCGAGGTTCCCTCCTAGCTAGGCTAGCCCTACATTAGTCTGTGCATTCATTGTATTCTCAGTTCATTCAGTCACAGCCTCGTTATTCGTTTACCTGCGCACTCTCTTTTACAACCCATAACAACTGTACGCGCCGATATTTATGCATTGACTCGAGTCGAGTTTGGAAAAGTTGGGTCACATTTGCCAAGTGTTCAAAGGAAAGACTTTCGTCACACGGCTTTCGTGAAATTGACGAAACCGGTAACCAGACAAAGTTAGATCTGTTTTTCGAACCTAGAATAAAATCACACACGCCCTAAGACTTTTTGGGTAAGTTTGGGACTAAATTTGAGATATTTCTGAAACTAAGGGCGTGTGTGATTTTGCCGAACCTGACTGAAAGTTCGAACTTTTATAACGGTTCGTCACGGTAGGATACAGTTAGAAGAGTTTTGCCACGGTGCAAAGCGGTTTGAGTTCGAACTTTGTCAGGTTCGGCAAAATCACACACGCCCTAAGGAGCTGGGATGTACTATCAAGAAATTTCGAACAAAGACTCACGTGCTTCCTACCATTATGCTGCTAGGTCGGGCTTTTGAATCCGCTAAACGTCACCCGCGCACGAGGGTGTCGCTTCTTAGGTATACGGGTGCAGAGAGGGGCAGCGCGGCTCGGCGCTATGGAGGAGGAGAAAGCGGCGGCGTATTATCAGGATCTCGTGCGCCGCGGGTCCAACGCGGCGCGATTCAAGCAAGGCCTCGGGTTCGGCTCCAGCACCGCCGCTGACGCCAGCAGCGATGGCGGCGGCGGCGGCGCGGTTTGGACCAAAGGCGGTGCGGGGTTGACGTTCGTGGCCGCATCTGGCGGCGCCGCGTCGTTTGAGCGGGAGAATCTGGAACCGCCGACCCAGAAGTCTCCGGGACGCGGCGCGGCGCCAATCGCGGAGACATTCGCGGAATCGTTCGAGCGGAAGCTACAGGCGGGTCTGGCGGAAGCGCGCGTGGCGAGCGTGCGCGACAAGCTGCGGAAGGGCGGAAGCGATGATGGGGCGCGCGTGGGCAGGCGGGCGGATAGGGGAGGAGATGGGGGGAGGAGCGCGGAGCGGAAGGACGTGGAGAGGCGGGAGGAGCGAAGCAGGAGTAGGGAGAGGGTTAGGAGAAGGCGGAGCAGCAGCAGAAACAGGAGCAGGAAGAGGAGCAGGAGCAAGAGCAGGAGCAGTGAGAGCAGCGGACGGGAGGGGAGGAGGGGAAGGAAAAGGCGCAGCAGAAGCAGGAGCAGGAGCAGGGAGAGGAGGAGGAGCAGGAGGAGCAGGAGCAGCAGCAGGAGCAGGAGCAGGAGCAGGAGCAGGAGCAGAAGCAGGGGGAGGAGGGGCAGGAGTGGGAGTAGCAGTGGAAGCAGGGGGAGGAGGCGCAGGAGCAGGGAGCGGAAGGGCAGAGGTGGGAGAAGGGGCAGGAGCAGCAGCAGCGAGAAGAGGAGAGAGGAGAGCAGGAGGGGGGAGCGAAAGAACAAGGAAGAGGCAGCTAAAACGGATCCCAAGGTGATTTGAAGGGTGTGGGGGAAGAGAAAGTAGGGGAGGGGGTGAGTGGAGGGGAGGAATGGAGAAGGGGTGGGGGAGGGGATGGAATTGGCAGGTGGTTTATGATATGCCAACACAATATGGATTTTTTCTTTCTTTCCTTTTTCTTTTCTTTTCTTTTTTTTTCTCCCTTTTTTTTTTTTTTTTTTTTCTCTCTCACTATATGTGTGCGGTGGGTACGCAAGTGATGCTGTTGGTCCGTACAATTCACGAGGAGAGGCACGCACCCCTCAGAGCAAGCAGCACGAACCTCATTCGCTCTTCTTCCCCTCCGCCCCCCTCCATCTCACCCACTTCCCCTCCGCCCCCCTCCATCTCACCCACTTCCCCTCCGCCCCCCTCCATCTCACCCACTTCCCGTCCGCCCCCCTCCATCTCAACCACTTCCCGTCCGCCCCCCTCCATCTCACCCACTTCCCGTCCGCCCCCCTCCATCTCACCCACTTCCCGTCCGCCCCCCTCCATCTCACCCGCTTCCCGTCCGCCCCCCTCCATCTCACCCACTTCCCGTCCGCCCCCCTCCATCTCACCCACTTCCCGTCTGCCCCCCTCCATCTCACCCGCTTCCTCCGTTTCCCCCTAACCAGCTGCGCGCGCAGCAGCTGAAAGAGAGAATGGCACAGCAGTTTCAGCAGGCAGGTGAGGCAGTCAGGGTCAGGGGTGGGCAGTGAGGCAGTCAGGGTGGGCAGTGAGCAAGGCAAAGGGAGGGGCAGTGAGCAAGGCAAAGGGAGGGGCAGTTAGTGGGGCGGTGAAGGGGGCGCTTCTCGTTCCATGCGTCTTCCCTGAATGGTATAGAAAGCAGCAACCATACAATAAAACAGCAACCATACAATAAAACAGCAACCATACAATAAAACAGCAACCATACAATAAAACATCAACCATACAATAAAACATCAACCATACAATAAAACAGCAACCATACAATAAAACAGCAACCATACAATAAAACAGCTACCATACAATAAAACAGCAACCATACAATAAAACAGCAACCATACAATAAAACAGCAACTATACAATAAAACAGCACCTGTAGGACACCTCCTGTGAGTGGGTGGTGAGTGGGGCAGTGAGTGGGGGGCGTTTCTCGTTCCCTTCTTGACGACCAGCTGTGCGCGCAGTAGCTTAGGGAGAGGATGGCACAGCAGTTTCAACACGCATGGGAGTGAGGAGGGCAGGAAGGAGGGCAGTGAGGAGGGCAGTGAGGAGGGCAGTGAGGAGGGCAGTGAGGAGGTGTCTCGTCTAATGCAAAGGTCTTCTGTCTCTTTTGCCTTCTTTAGCTTTTCCCTCCCTCTCTAGCTCTCCCTCTCTAGCTCTCCCTCTCTAGCTCTCCCTCTCTTGCTCTCCCTTTCTGTGTCCTCCTCCCATCTGCCTCTAACTAAACACTCTAATTTCTATCTGCTTCTCTAAACACTCTTCTTCCTACCTCCTCACCAACAGCCGCCAAGGAGGCAGCAACAGACAAAGCGACGGGTCTGGGCGGCGAGTGGGAGCGGTTTGGATTCGATTCTGCCGCACCGCTGGAAGAGGAGAGGGATGCAGATGCTGACGTGGATGATGCAGATCCGACGGCTGGGATGGGCAGTGGTGGTGAGTGGTGGTGCATTTGTGGTTTAGGGAGACTTATGAGGTGCAATGCAAGCTAGATGTTGTCATGCCAGGGCAGCTGCAGGCTTTGGTTTCAATGGGCGCGGTGCGGTGATTTGATGCCTTTTGTCATGGCATCTGCCTTTTTAGGTGCACTGCAGTGCAGTGCAATTTGTTGTCTTCTATTTCATATTCCAAATGTGTCTTCGCGATTCTGTTTCTGCACATGTGTGCTCGCACTGACGTGTTTTTACAAGTGTTTTTACATACAAGTGTTTTTACATACAAGTGTTTTTACGTACAAGTGTTTTTACATACAAGTGTTTTTACATACAAGTGTTTTTACATACAAGTGTTTTTACATACAAGTGTTTTTACATACAAGTGTTTTTACGCTTGTCGCATGGCCATGCAAGCCTTTGCCTCTGCACTGATGCGCTAGCCTCTCACACACAATGACATTCCATCAATTGTGCGTGGCATTTCACCACACCACCCCCCCTCTTCCCCCCCACCATCACGCCCCCTCCCTCCCACCATCACGCCCCCTCCCCCCCACCATCACGCCCCCTCTCTCCCACCATCACGTGCAGATGCGCTGGGAGGTGCAGACGATCTTGCTCATTTGGATCGAATCAAATCTTCCTTCGTCTTCTCCTCCTTCTCTGTATGTCGCAGCTGCTCTTTCCCTCGCATTTCATCCGCTGTTGTTCCTCGTCGCCTATTTGTTCGTCTCAAAATGTCAGTGCAGCAAGAATTCGATTCCATGTGCATTCTGCACAATGGACCTGAATGAACCATTCTGCAGATGCTGTAACAATTCGTTCTTCCGCTGCTGATTGTTCTTTTTTTTTTTTTGCGATGACTTTCTACTCCGCTAATAGCCAACATGCCTCTGTTTCATGTTTGATGATGGGTGCGTGATGTGACTGTATAGAATCGCGGTGCTACCACGCAGGAAGCACACGAACATGCAATATTTGGAGCACCACCCACTGCACCCAGTGAGAAGCTGCCACGTGGTCAGTCCAGCAAGGCGTCAGATCCCAGCAGGAAAGACGGGCGGCATGCTGACAAAGCGTGCCGCCCAAGTGACCAGGGACGGGAGGAGAGAGCATCGGAGAAGGTGGGGGAGAGGAGCGATAAGCGAAGAGCGGAACGGCGGAACTCAGAGAGGAATGAGAGAGGGGATGAGAGGAGGGATGGCAGACGTGGCGAAGGGAGAGAGAATAGGCATGATGGGTCACCAGATTGGTCAAGGGAAAGGAGGGATGGAGGTCGAGGTAGAGATGAGAGGAAGGAGAAGGAGCAAGAAGGGCGGCGTGGGGAGCAGTCAGAGAAGCAAGCTAGGGCAGCAAGCTCGGTTGGTGGGTGTGCAGCAGCAGTGGAAGCCAAATTTTCCTTGTCTGGAAGGAAGGGCGGCAGCAGCAGTGGCACTGCTGGCGCCCCTGATGCGTTCACAGCAGCGGTGGCGGCAGCACTGGGAGTGGAGGAGGAGGACGATGAGGAGAGTGTGCCGGTCATCGTGGGGCTTGTGGTCGACACACGCCCTGCTGGTGAAAGCACACGCAATGCTGCTTCTGACACACTCCAGCCACACGCACAAGCGGTGCAGGATGAGGTTGCTGGTGTGCCAGCTGGCACGCTGTCGTTGGTGGATGGGAGCTCGGCTGGTGAGGCGGCAAGAACCACGTGGATGGAGAGCGGGGCGGCGTCAGCATCCAATGGGCAGCAGCAGGTGGGTTGTTGGATTCGCATGTGGGCAGTACTGAGGTGTGTGCAGGTGTGTGCAGGTGTGTTGAAGCTTGAAGGCTGTTGAAAGAGTGGCATGTGGAGAATACAGGCAGTACAGAGTGCAGGTGTGTGCACACAGGTCATAACTGCGTTCAATGCTTCTGTCTCTCTTTATCCTCGCTATAAGCAGGCTGCACCTCGTCCACAAGTCCCGTCGTGGAAGCAACGTGCACTGCAGCTCAAGGCCGCCAGAGCAGCCAGTCAGCAGGGGTGACGACCGGCAGCGCTGACAGCTAGCAGTCAAGTGAGGTCCTCTTTTTGTGTTGCCCGCCTCTCATGTGGGTTATTCTCCTGCCTTCTTTTGTGTCCCACTGTGTGTTATCGATCTTTCTTATGGTGCATCCATTTTATAGCCGAGATGCCATTGATTAAGCATATAGTGTATTCAGTAGGTCACAACGGGCACTGCCAAGCAAGCCACCAGCAGTTTCGTGACTCGCACGCCTTCAATGTATATGCACAGCCCACATGTGGGACTTGAACAGCACTCAAACCCATCCTGGCCTATTGTGCTTTGCTCCATCACTTCACCCCAACACATACACAAACCTCCTCCCGTCACCCTCTCACATCCTCCCGTCACCCTCTCACATCCTCTCGTCACCCTCTCACATCCTCCCGTCACCCTCTCACATCCTCTCTCCCTCACCGCTGCACCACCCCTTCCAGCTCTCGCCTCGCATCCCCTTCCTCCATGAGCTCCTCCCCATCCACCACCAGCCCACCAGCCCCCCAAGGTCACGGGCCCCCATGTTAGCACCTTCACCAACCCCTGCATGATCTTCTGCTCACCGCTGCACCACCCCTTCCAGCTCTCGCCTGGCATCCCCTTCCTCCATGAGGTCCTCCTCATCCACCACCAGCCCCAAGTCCATGGATCCCCGTGTCAGCACCTTCACCAAACCACGTGCACTCCACAACCCCGCCTTCCTCCCCTTCTCCTTCTCCTTATCCTTCTCCCTCTCCCTCACCTCCCCTTCCTCACCGCCCGTCTCCGTTCTCCTCCCCTTGCCTCCACTCCCACCCCCTTGACCTGAGTCGCGGTGGTGGTGGTGGCTGTACAGGGATGCTCTCTCACTCGCTCCCTCGCTGCTCCTGCTGCTCGCACTCGAATATCTGTGCAAACTCCCACTCCGACCATCACTCCTACTCCCACTTCTACTCTCTTTCCTCTCCGTCTCATTCTTCCCACTCCTGCTAGGTCTCCTGCTCACACCACTCACACCCACACCACCACCACCACTGCCACTGTCACCACCATCAGCAGCATAACCATACACGTTCTCATCAGTCAGCTTGTCAAACAGCCCTGCTCTCCTCCCTCCCTCCCGGCCCCACCTGCTGCTCTCACCACACAACTCCCCCGCACGAGCCACACCCTGCATGTCCCCATAGCTGCTGCTGTAGCTGCTGCCATGGTTGGTCGGTGTGCTGCTGAAGGGGTCGCTAGGAGAGGTGAAGAGGGTAGTGCTGTGGTCGCTGCCACAGGGAATGCTGGCCCGGTAAATCAAGCTGGGCTGTGCTTCCTCGCATGCCTCCATGCCATCGGCCCCCGCCCCATTCCCAGACAGGAAGTCTAGCAGTGCTGTGTTAGATGGTAACTGAGAAATCATGTTGCTCGCAGGGGCTGTTACTGTTACTATTGCTGTCGCTGCTGTGGTTGCTCCTCCACTGGATCCAACGCTGTTAGTGACTTCTCTAAGCGGGTCTCCTGAAGCAGTTCTGAACGAGTCACCTGCCTGCATGTGCGGTGCAGTCTCAGCCGCCATGCCAGCTGTGCTGCTGGTAATGGTGGTGCTGCTGGTGGTGCTGCTGGTGGTGGTGGCGCAGGGTTTGCAGGTGAAAGGGTGGAGGGGAGGAGGGGGAGCGAGGATGTAGTCGGGCGATTGGATGGAGTTGATCTTGCCGTCCTTGCGGTATGCCTCCATCTCCCTGCCTGTCAGTGGCAGTATGAGCCCGGGGAGGAGGAGGAAAAAAGGGGAAGAGGCGGAGATTGAGTTGCCATGGGAATGGTCTGGTATTGCGCTAGTGTCAGCACATGCCCATGCCAGCACATGCCCATGCCAGCATATCCCCATGCCAGCACATGCCCATCACATACCCATGGGCACGAATGTGCGAGTGCGGAAGTGCTTGGCCTGTGTGGAGCCATCGCTGTACAGAACATAGTCATGGTAGGTCGGGGAGAACTGGAAGGGGGTGGGGGGGGGGGGGGGGGGGGGGGGGGGAGGGGGGGGGGGGAGGCGGGGGGGAGGGGTGGGGAAAGAGAAGATGCCAGTTAGATGTGGTGTTCCATCGCTATCGGTCACATCCCGTAACCGTGGTACATCGGGGATTTTTTTGTTGCCTCCGAAATCCACTGCTGTAGGTCACATACCATAGTCATGGTATATCGGGGAGAAGCAGCAGGTGTGGATGTGGAGAGTTGCAGTTGAAATATGGTACGACGCGGAGAACGGGGGGGTGGTGGGCAGGGAGAGGAGAAGTCATGGTGGCAAGCAAAGGTGGCACGACTTGGCAAGCAAAGGTGGCACGACTTGGCAAGCAAAGGCGGCGCACAGAGCATGCAGGTGGTGGGGACAAGCAACGAGCATCACCTGGTGAACAGTGTCATCCACCACATTCCCCACACCCACCACATGCCTGAGCCTCTGAAAGAAGCTCCCCACCTCCTCCTCTACTGAGGTTTGAGTCGACTCAACACTCACCTGGTGAACAGTGTCATCCACCACATTCCCCACACCCACCACATGCCTGAGCCTCTGAAAGAAGCTCCCCACCTCCTCCTCTACTGAGGTTTGAGTCGACTCAACACTCACCTGGTGAACAGTGTCGTCCACCACATCCCCCACAGCTGCTGCATGCCTGAGCCTCTGAAAGAACCCCCCCACCTCCTCCACTATCCCCCCGCCACCGCCCCCCATGCTGGCGGCAGCGAAGGGTGTGACGGGGAAGGCCCACGCGAAGCCCCCTGCAGCGAGGGCCATCTCGCAGCACAGCAGCAGAGACTGCAGGTCTGCTGCATCGCTGGAGGAGCGCACAAGTCCCAGATGGCCCGCCACAAACACCACTATGCCCTACGGGGTGGGGAAGGCGTGTTTGGGGAGAGATGAAAGGGAAGAAAGAAAGGGAGCAGCACGCTCTGCAGGTCGGCTGTATCGCTTTGGGAGCGCACCAGACCCAAATGGCCCTGCTACAAACACCACTACGCCCTGCAGGGGAGTGTGGAGGGGGGTTTGGGGAGGTGGGGGGGGGAGGAGGGGAAAGGGGAAAGGAGGGGTCATCTTGCAGCATAGCTCTGCAAGTGTGCTGCATCGTTTTGGGATTGCACCAGACCCAGATGGCCTGCTACAAATACCACACTATGCCCTGCGAATGGGGCAGCATCAGAATCATAGCAAACAGCAACTTTACCTGGCCGGCGCCTTAGAGCCTGCCGGTGGATGTTACCTGCCAGTAGGTGAGGACGACGACGAGCTTGATCATGATGAACTTGGGGATGGGGTTGAAGGAGCGCAGCAGGTCGTGACAGCCAAAGTAGAAGAAGAGCAGCGCGTACACGGCGAGGGAGTACGACACCATGTACACACACGTCACATAGGGGTACCCGTTGGTGAGAGCGAACACGCCCTCCTCGTAGCGGCCGGCGCTGTAGAGGGCGAGGCAGAGCGCTGCGAGAAGCGGCTTGATGAAGACAAACTGCAGGCAGCCACGCTTGCAGTGGCGGATGAAGTGCCTGGTGCATGCATGGACGAAGGGAAGGGGGAAACGGGAGGGGAAACGGAGGGGTAGGGGCGGGAAAAGGAAGAGAGGGAGGAGGTGGTATGGTACATGGAGGGAGTGACAAATGAGGCTGCTGCTGGCTTGATGTTGTTCTAAAAGCTTGATCAACCAATGAAGGCACACTGTTGATGCGACTCTTGAAGAGACGAGCATGTGACAGGTTTCAAGATTGTGAGGCACTGCTGGAGCATTTGCTCATGGTATGGTACTCGAGGCCTTCAAATTGCACTGCTACTACTATGTCCTCTCCCTCGCTTCTATCCTTCTTGTCTTGCTCACCCATCCAGTGGAATGGGTGGTAGCCAGCATGTGAGTAGCAGCGTGGACGGCTTGAGAACGCGCCCTGTGAGGCTGATGGCCACTGCACCTGGCCCGCCCACCCACGCCAGGCAGAGAGACAGGAAGTTGTAGATGACCCACGCTTCGTACCTGTGCAGGACAATTTAGGATCAATCAATGGTGGCTATGGATTTAAGAGCTTAAGTAGAAAAAAATACAGTTGTTGGAACACATGACAGCTAGTGACTCATGACTAGGAGCTTCAGATCTGTTTCTTACATGTCACGGACAGTCTTGAAATACATGGCGTAGTCACTGGCCACCAGAGCACCATACGACATGGCAGCATACACCTGTACGCAAAGCCTTTCAGATTTTTTTCTATTCGTTGCAAACCCTCAAAATTCAACCTCCTGAAAGAGGGACGAACTAAGGTCTTACAGGGACCATGAAGATGATTCTTATTATGTATCTTTGGTGAGTAGGCTCTGTGTAGTATCGCAGATGCATCATCATGTGGCGGAACGCAATCAGTATAGCCACACACGTGCAAGCCAGAGCTACCATTCTGAACGGCATGCTCGAAAACAACCCTGAATCTGTTTCTTCATCTCTGCTTGCTCCTGGACTTAGGGGTCCGAACAGGACGGACGCTTCATCTTCAGGCATAGCCGCCATGATGACAAGGGGTACTTGTCTCGAAGAGGTTCCTATGCTTGGGACGTCATTGGTATGAGAACACCTATTCTGTTAAAAGCAATAGCTCCAAGAATTATAGTACTATCGTTCGTACAAGCGTGAAATTGAGATTAACTTGTTAAGAGCAGGGGAAAGAAGCTACTGGTGCGATAAGAGCCAGGATACTAACGCTGGAACATTTGGCGATGATTTGCCTACAGGAGAAATCAAGAAGCCCGTCTACGCAAGCCATCGGAATGGTTTACAAATCTGGCTATTGGATTCACCCTGGTCAAATCGCCCAGACAGCTTTGGGAATCTACGCCTAACCTAAGGGCGTGTAACATTGTATCGACCAAGCCTAAAATCCGACCAAATGGTGGATGATGCGAACACGAAGCCCCGCCACACATTTCGAACAGAACGACCATTCTGTTCGTGAGCTGTCGGGCACCCACCCTGAACTACCCCCGTAATTAGAATTAAAGGTTAATCCAAGTTTCAGTATTTAAACGAGGCGTTAAATAAAGGGGGCACAGACAGTAGTGTTTAGCAAGTTCATAGTGCCCCGAAAACAATTCGGGGAAAATAACTGGATGTCAAACAATTCTCCCCTCCCTGGATAAGAGTAGTACAGGTCGTGAAAGTCGGCGATCCAAAATTTAATGAAAATCCTACCGAAAAGTTTTCTGTAGTCAGAGTGACTACCACGTAATGCTATTCAGTGGGTGTAACCCCAAATAGTTCAATCGTCAGAACTGCCCATGGTCGTCTTTTTAGGTTGGATGGTACGATGTTACACGCCCTAGTCCGTTGCTGCCTGGAGTATCCAAGGTGATAGCTCTGTGTCTCTTCGCCTGATGTCACTTCGCTGGGACGTCAGCGAACAAGATTTGTGCGACCTTGCGGATCGCGATGTTGATGGGGAAGCTGTTCAAGAAATCGTTCACCTTGTTACGTAGCCCCACTCAAGTGTTGATGCAAGTCAGGTGCACTCAGAATTACTATCTCATATAAAAAACGAGGCCTTTCATAATCCAGGGCAGAGGTATACATTGATTTTGACAATCCAAATTTCGTTTGGGACTCCACAACGATACAAGCTTGAGCTTAGTCATCATCCTTGAACTCCCTGCGATGAACAGAGAAAAAAAAAGGGTAAAAAACAAGATGTATACTAAATGAGCTTGATCTAGCAGGCCATGAGCAAATGGCTACAGGTTCTTGGATTTCACATTGCCGGTAAACTATAATTATGCTGTGAACCCAGGCCAACTAACCCTCACAGATTTTCGTTTTCCCTCCCTCACCCCCAGTCCAGATCCTCCATCATCCCTTCTTCCCCTCACCTACAGTCACTATGTCCCATTATCCCCTCTTCAACCCTCACCTGCGGTCCAGGTATCTGGGCTGCACGCCGGTGCCCTGGCAGGTGGTGCAGGTGATAGCGCCCTTGCCCTGGCAGTTGATGCACTCCGACTCCTCCCTCTCGCCGCCGCCCAGCTCCACCACCACCACCCCCGTGCCCTGGCAGAACCGGCACGACTCTGCCACACATAGATGAGAGCAAGGGAAGCGATGTGAGGAAGGAAGGTCAGAAAGGGAGAAAGGGAGAGGATGAGGTCAGAGGGGGAGTCATGTGGTGTGGCCATGTGCATTATGCCATGTGCATTATGCCATGTGCATTATGCCATGTGCATTATGGAGTGAGGTGTGGCCATGTGGTGCAGGCAGAGCAGGCAGACCGTGCATGTCGGTGGCAGGCATTGCAGCAGGACATGTACGGGCTTGGATGGTGGGGATGGGTGTCAGGTTGGACGGCAGGAGCATGAATACCAGGCCATGCAGGCAGCAGGGCAGCGGAGACTCTACCACCCACAGCACTACACTCCAGAGCCCCGTTATGGCATCACATTTGATGACCAGTTCTACAGGTTCTGAAGAAAAAAATATTTTGTCACTCGTGATTCGCAAAGGGGTGATATCTTCCATTTGAACACTCGACGCAGAGGCATGGTGCTGTTGGGTCTCATTTTGAGAACACGCCAAACAAATAGAATAACCTCATGTGCGATGGGCGCAGAGGCATGGTACTGTTGGTTGGCATTGACACTGAGAGGACTGACGGGGGGAGAGGGACTTACGAGCGCCGGTGCCTTTGCAGGGGAAGCACGGCTGGTCGTTCTCCCGCTTCTCCTGCAGGAGGGCACGCGACAGGGTTGGAGGAGCAATGCGCGCGCATGAGCGCATGGTCGCATCGCATGAGCACGTGAGCGAATGGCATGAGCACGTGAGCGCAGAATGGCATGATCGCACGAGGGCATGAGCCGCATGCAAGGTGGCAGAGACGTTGCGCGAGTGCGTTGCCAAACGCGCTACGACAGTGAGAGTGGGAACGATAGGGAGAACTGAGACGAAAAAGCGAAGCGAACATGAAAGATGGATGTAAAGAAGACCTGCCGACTCACTTGACGGCTCATTGACGTCCTGACGGCTTACCAATGCCTGGCTTTGACGGTTACCGACGCCATGAAGACTCACCGATCCCTTGACGGCAATCTCGTAGAAGACGGGAATGCCGATGCCCACCGCGATACCCGCCAGCCCCACGCCGATCCCCACGAGCTGCCGGCCGAACAACACGGACGATTCATTGGTAGGAAATACGGGACAAGAAAAGAAAATGCGTAGAAATCGTATTTCCAACAGTGAATTCTTTTGTCAGAGAACCGAGTTGTTCGTGCAGCCCCAATTCGGCTTAGTGCGTCAAACGGGGGATTACGTCCGCGTCTTGCAAGCTAGCCTTTAAGCTACAGCGAGACAAGTTAACTCGCAGGCTCACAAAGGTGTGCCATCGGGATTCCAATCTCTTTCTAGAGCCTCCATCTACGCGATGCAGACGGGGGAACAACTACCAACGAGTACAAACCTTCGACATTGATGACGAATGCACCAAGCACTACAGGCTCACCGTATCGCCGTCCAGGTCAGCACGCGGAATCACGACGGCCTGCCTTCCCTTGGCAGAGCGGGAAGCTGCTAACGGGGTGCATGGGCAGAGCGAAGAGGCGCAGCCGAAAGACGCGGATTTAGCGGCCGATAGAGTGGTCGGCGCGACTGCCGCCGACGGTGGCCGTAAGGATGCGGCGATGCGTACGGCAGCCATAACTATTTGTCTGAATTACTCTCCGATATCGGAATGTGTGGGCTTTTGTGTAGCTGTGACATGAGGTGGGAAGTGGAGGTGCTGTTTCCAGCCCAGACGTTTAAAAGCAATTGCAATCTGAATCCCAGCTCTTACGATTTCACCACCGTCGAACAACCCCGTCCAGGCCAATGTTGACTGAATCAGCACAAATTGGAATCCATTTTGAGATCGGAATCAGCCCTCCATGAATACGCCTTCCAACAAAACAGGTGGTTAGGTGTGGCGGGAGGGGAGCCGCGTGGCGCCCTGTCTGATGTTTGTAACACGTGTCTCTTCAGGAGTCCAGTGGACACTGTCGTGCCAAATCAGCAACCCAATGGTTGGAAGCGACAGTCAACCCTGCTAGAATACAGCTTGTTATGAGTAGTAAACAGAGCTTGCTGACGAACAATACAATACGAAGAACTAATTTCCTTGCACAACCAAGGAAAAGGGAATTTAGATTTAAAAAACACTGATATTTGCTCCATGGACAAGGGATTATCAAACTTCATTCTTCAATTACTTCTGTTGGAGTGAGCAGGATCCTCACTCTAACAACTTTGCCTCGTGTTACAATCTGAAGTGAGACTTCGTGAAATGATCGTTCAGGGTTGATCGCGGGTTGTGTCGCAGCGGAAGTATTGAACTCAGGTCAGAGTGAATGTAAATGACTGAGATTGATAATAGCATGCATACATTGGGTTTATATAGGAATACAAAGGAATGTGAAGCGACCTAGACTAGCCATGTACTCTAAGGGGTACATTCCCTTATTGCAGCGAAGTTCAGAAACTATGCGGCGCGACAATCGGTTTCAAAACCTGTTCCCGCTCTTTTCATTTCAAATGCTTCTTCTCGTATCGCCCTTGGTCAGACGGTTGCTGTGTCTCTTCGATTCTTCTGACTCCTCGACTTCGTACTCGGTAGAGTCGGCTCCTGCAGCATACAGGAATGCCTTCTCATAAAACTTCGTATCGTAACACTCCCCTTCATTCCTGGACGCGTAGGGTGCTGACTCGCTTGACCACTCCAGTGAGATCAGAGCAGTGTTTGAACTGCTGACGTGGCAGACGCTTGGTGAGGAAGTCGGCTGCCATCTCGGTTGTTGGGCAGTATGCGAGGTCAACATTGCTCTAGTCGATTTCGTCTTTGACGAAGAAGTATCGCTGTGCGATGTGCTTCGTGCGGTTCACGAACCCTGGCTTGTTCGCGATCTTGATGGCGCTCTGGTTGTCGCAGTGAAGGCGAAAGGTGGGCGAAGTTGGAATTTTCGCCTCCTGTAGCAGCTCCTGCAGGTACAGGCCTTCGCGAACTGCTGCTGTCGCGGCGATGTATTCTGCTTCGGCCGATGACAGGGCAACAAGTTCCTGCTTCTGCGAGTTCCAGGAGATTGGGCCAGTAGGCTCCAGGCGGAAATCAAAACCGGTTCGGGACCGTCGATTCGCAGGGTCAGCAGCGTGATCTGCATCCACGTAGCCGTTGAGGTTGAAGGAGGTTGTTGCCAGCGTGGAGTAGGAGAGCCCGATGTCAGGTGTGGAGATGAAGTACTGCAGGGCGCGTTCCAGGTCCAGCTGGTTCTCGACTACTGGCTTGCGAGAGTACTGTGCCAGTTGGCTGGCGATGTACGAAAGGTCGGGTCGGCATGTGACAGAAGCGAACAGCAGACAACCCAGTTGCTGCTGGTATAGTTGAAGTCCTGCGGGGGACAAGGGTTTGTTGTCCGGTTTGTAATAAGAGCTGGGGCTGCGATAGGGAGTTGAGAGTGGTGTGGGGGAGATGTTGAAGCGTTCCCCCAACTGCT